TGCCACAAATTCTCCTAAATCACTCGTACGCACAACTTAAGAACAAATCTGTGCGTACGAACGGTTCTTGCATGAGGCCCAATGAGCTGAAGTTGGGTGTAGTAGAAGCTGAGAGTCATGCACTGGGTAAGATCTTTGTGTAACGTTTTGCCGTAAACTACAGATAACACATTTATTTGTATCCTTTCATTAATTATTAATAGAAATATTTTATTAATTTATTAAAACAAAAAAAATCTATATACAATAAAAAACAAAACACTTTATAAATGAAATGAAAGAAAGCAGAGAGAAGGAAATATCTTATACTATCTGCCCCCTTTTTAAAATAAATGTAAATAATAATACAAACGTTTTATAGACAGCATCAGGTCCATTATCTGAACAACAGCTTATRTCGATACATACTACTTAGTATCATATTTTTTTCAATAAACTAGCTTTTATCAGCTTTTTAAAGAATAGGTTCTGGAAGTTTATCATCAAGATTATTCCATAAACTGATTCCTTGAATTACAGTACAATGTTCCTTTAGGCCAATACAAAACAGAGGGTTTTTAAAAAAAAAAATTCTGTTCCCTTAAGATTATATTGACTCTCTCTTTACAGGTCATATATTTTAATGAGCATTATATATAACTTCTACCAAATCTTAAAACTTTCAACTGATGAACTAGTCTATTTGTTGGATGACCATAATGTTTTCTGGACCACAAATTCAGATTCGGRCCTGAACATCTCCACGGGAATCATAGTGTTTGTGTGTCTGCTGGCTGCGGTGCTGCTGCTGGCCGTCGTCCACAGGGTGAAATCAGGTGACAACTCTCTGTCTGCTTGTTTAATCTCACCGTCTGCACAATTAATCTGCATTTGTTTGCTCCATCRTTGTTTGAAGTCATAATCATGTTGGTTTTCTGTTTTTCTTCTGCAGGAGGCTGGTTCTATGAAAAATGTAAGTAAACAGAGTTGATTCATATTTACACTTTAAAATGTTGACTTTGAGGATAAGAAAAGCTGCTGCTATGAGTTCAGTGCGATCACTGTGAGGTTTTGTGCTCATCTACACGAAGCTGATCCTTACTAGTGGGGATTTGGACTAATTTAAAGTACAAGAAATAAAACATTAAATTTGCCTGTTTATTAGATATTTATATCTGGGTCTGATTCTCTCCCTGCAGCATCCATGCCTTGGGAAGGAGGTAAGAAACTTATTGAAATTACTTCTTAGTTGTAAGTCAAATCTCTTCAAACGCAGCAGCTGGGTGTTTGTGAATTTATCTGTGCTCTTTTTTTCTGTCTTTTGTTGTGTTTTTAAGAGTTCTGGAGAAAGAACGACAGGCAACGTAAGTTTACACATCCGTGTATTTCCTCTGTTTGTCTTTATAGTTTCAAAGTTGACATCTGTATGCTTTTATTGTGAAAACCAGAGGTGGATACTACCGATTCCAATGGGACCACCACGCTGCAGCAGCAGAAGGGGGACCCAGGTGGTAAGATGCAGCTGAAAAACATCCCCTTTACGACTAATTACTGTCAAATTTAGCCATTCAGTGTTAGTTTGTTGCAAAAGGATGGAAACCTTTTTCCTTTATTTTGTCAATTTGCAGAAGAAGAAGCAGGAGCAGAGAACTGAACCACCTAAAGGAGCCTGAAACTGAAAATCCACCACATTCACATGAAAACTGAATTTATATATCTATATATATATTTTAGTCTTTAAAAAACTAAGTGTCTTTTCATTGATGCAAAAGCAACACAATTTGCTGCTAAATTAGTTGAAAATGTTGAATAATTGAGCATCTTTTGTGTGGGTTATGTGTTTTGACATTTTCTGGCAGCACTGAGAACAACCAACCTGAAGTGATGATAAAAAACAAGTTCAAGCCTCGTCTTTTACTCGACTGTTACATTTAGATGTGTTAACAGGAAACACGTGCTTTACGCAGCTTCAGAGAACAGCTTTAACTTGTAGGAAATGGTTTGCAAAAAAGGAATGATCAAGATTAGAGTGAAGCAAAAGGGAAGAAAACGTCTGGCTTTAAAGCTGATCTTTCTGATCTGATGAGATTGTTTTAAGTTGGAGGAGTTAAAAAAAAAGGAAGATTCTGCTTCGTTTGAGCCTCCATCTTAACCAACAATCACAGCTTTGTGCAGCAGCAGCYTTACATGTCTGGTGACTAAGTGTGTTTTTGTGGTTTTAAAATTTCTTATGCAGTCTTTTTTTGTAAGCTCCTTAATGTTTTCTGTTTTTTTTTAAACTTTTATCTAAGAGTGTATGCATTTTTCAACCCAATGTGTGTTGAWATGCAAATGTTTTTTTAATGTATTTGAAAGAGACCCTCTTAAAAAAGGTATCTTTCTTGAGAAAATAAGGAACTGAGATGTTAGTACTCCACTAGATTATTATGTTATGAGGATACCAAGAATGTAACGTAACCAAATGTTTAACCGGTGAATAAAACCTGTCTTTATAGATGGTTTTTGTATTGTGTTGGTTTTGAAGCTAATGAACCTCTTCCTCTGTTCAACCTCTAGAGGACAGCAAATCCCCACATCACTGTCAGATAGAAAAATAAAACATTTTAGGCCTTTGCGAACCCATCAGTTTGTTTTTGTTATTAGCTACAAATGATATTGGACACCTTAAAGATTAACAAACAGGATTTCAGTTGGTTTGAAAGCCTGGTTTTATTATAGGATGAAGTCACTCTGTTGACCTGAGACTCCTGTTTATCTATTAACAGTTGTTTCTCAATATTTTTTTATTCTTTTTTTATTCTCTATTTTATTTGTAACAATTATATACACAACAAAACAAAAAAAAACGTGCAATGAAATATAATCAAAATAAAATGAAAGGCAGCAGCAGAAGAATAAATCTTATATCTGCTCCTTTTTTTAAAACCCAAAATATGTTCCAAAAAAAGGTAAATTACCACAAAAATCAAAACAAGTGAAAAAAAACTAAAAAAGCTAAATTTAAAATACCAACTCATAAGAACAATTAGCATGAATTTACTTATGTTTCTCCATATTTCTTCAGAATACTAGATTTTATCAATATTTAGCACAGTCTGTGCATCACCTCGTGTTGCCAATAAACCCACCCCTGTGTGCAGCTGCACAAACACTTCTGCTTAGAAAAAAGAAGGCAACCTGCTTAGAAATTCTTAAGAAACAATAATCTTGTCTTGAGTTTTCCAGCTGAGACAAATGGTTGACTAAAGACAAACTCCATCCTTAAATGAGCTTTTATGTGCATATCAGTAGYCCAGTTTTGAATTGTATTTTAGATTTCTTTACAGGTCGGATTACTCAGTCCTTCGTTTTATCTTATAAGACGTTTGTTTCAACAGCTGTCGAAGAAGCCTAGAAATTCATGTGTGGACATGCAGCTCTTCAGGTGGTTGGGTAAACAAAAACAAGGTGAAAACWGGTTTTTTAATGTAGGACAATAAGAGCAACATAAAACCTGGAATGCTTAGAAGGAAAAGATAATATCTACAATGTACATGTTGGTTTAGTGTTCTTTGCTGTACGATTCAAATACATTAGAGAAAACAAATCTTATACACTTGGAAAGCCTGTTCATTTCCCTTTTAAATGGCGCCACATTTGTAAGGAATATGCATTAATGGAATAAGCAGCAGAGCTGAGTATGTAAGTTGCACATGAAAATTTTGCAAAATCTTCTGTGCCAAACAGATTATTTTTTAATAACACTTGTYATGAGCTTCTGGTACCTCCAGGTGCCTCATATAAGATTTATTACCAAGAAGCATTGTTGCAACAAAGAAATAATCTACCAAACACAAATTTTCTTAATTTTTGTTCATTTAGCATAATCTTTCTAACTTACTTTTCAATCTAGGATTTCTAACAAGTGTCTTGAGAAATAATCTTTTGTCTCATCACTCAAAGTTTCCTTTAATATTGACCATTTGTCTCCACCAGGTACTCCCTTCATATCAGGGGTGTCAAACTCCTGTCCTCGAGGGCCGCTATCCTGCATGTTTTAGAGGTTTTCTTGCACCAACACACC